AGGTGAGGTAGTTGAGTCTGGACAAGGACTAGGTTCAGTGGGGCTATTTGATTGAGCCGATGGGGAGGGTGAAGGTTCTTCAGTGTATGCCGCTTTAAGTCTGTCTATGCTGACAGTGTCTGGGCGGCCGCATCGGTCAATAACGAAAAATTTATCTTTACGACTAAGGACCTTAAAAGGCCCGTCATACGGTGGTTGTAATGGCTTTCGTATGGCGTCGTGACGCACGAAAACGTGTGTACAGTCATCAAGTCGCCGATCAACCTGAACCTTTCGGTTCTGAGTGCGTGTGGAAACTGGTCGGATTCGCTGCATAAAACTTTTAAGTTGCTGAGCGTAACGGGTGGTATCGGGAAATTTGGCTCGAAAGTTTCGGGAGCGATTAGCTCGCCTGGTAAACGCATGGTGGTACCGTACACCAATTCAGCTGGCGAGCACTGCAGATCCCCCTTAAGCGTAGCCCGGATGCTAAGCAGGACCAGTGGTAGCGAATCTGTCCACTTACTGTTGTCCACTGCCATCAACGCAGCTTTGAGTTGACGGTGGAAACGTTCTACTAGGCCATTTGCCGCAGGATGATACGCGGTTGTGCGAATGCGTTTGCATCCCAGCATCTCTAACAATTCTTTGAAGCTTGTGGATTCGAATTGTTGTCCGCGGTCGGTAGTGACAGTTGCGGGACATCCAAAATGGGCAACCCAGCCTTCCATGAAGGCACGACAGACGGTTTGAGCCGTTACATCTGGTATCGGAATGGCTTCCGGCCAACGTGTGAAACGATCCACACATGTGAGTAAATACGAGCAGCCGTTAGACGGGGGCAGGGCCCTTACTATATCCAGGTGGATATGATGGAACCGAGCGTCTGGGGTCGCAAACGTCCCCAACGGCGTGATGTTATGCTTGGTGACTTTAGCACGTTGGCATTGCACACAAGCACGTGTCCATTGACGCACATCACGGTTCATACCGGGCCACGCAAATCTCGCAGAAATCAACTTGTCCGTTGCTCGTATGCCAGGATGGGAGAGGTTGTGGAGTGACTCAAACACAGTTCGGCGTAAAGACGTGGGAACAATCGGTCGAGGAGTACCAGTTGACATATCGCAAAGTATAGTTGCCTCACTGTTTAGCAAGGGGACGCGTTCTATCTTCAGTGAGGTTTTATTTGACAGGTGTTCTAAGTTCAAATCGTTCAGTTGGAGTTCGGCCATTTTATGAAGATCGATGGTTGGTGGTACGGACGTAGCACATACGCGAGACAAAGCGTCTGCTACCGCGTTATCCGATCCAGAAACGTGCTGGATATCAGAAGTGAACTGGGAAATATAGTCTAAATGGCGTGATTCTCGCGGTGAATACCGGTCTGAAGTAGTGTGGAGGGCGTACGTCAATGGCTTATGGTCGGTAAATACCGTAAATTGCCGGCCTTCCACGAAGTGACGAAAATGCTTGACAGCAGCATAGACAGCGAGAAGTTCCCTACCGAATGTGCTGTATCGAGATTCGCATGCGGTAAGTTTACGTGAAAAGAAAGCAATCGGTAGCCATACATTAGCCATACGCTGTTGTAGGACGGCTCCGATCGCAGTATTAGAGGCATCTACGGAGATGCTGATTGGAAGTTGAACATCTAGATGGACCAACATTGTGGCGTCAGCAATAGCTTTCTTGATAGCTGCAAAAGCTGTCGAGGCTTCCTTAGTGAACACCAAAGACTTGCATTTCCCTTTAAGCATATCAGTCAAGGGGGTCACGATATGAGCACACTGTGGGATAAAGCGACGGTAGTAACTAACCATCCCGAGAAAAGTGCGTAGTGCCTTGGGAGAAGTGGGTAGAGGGAAGTTTTGAATAGCTTCTACCCGGTCAGGTAACGGATAAATTCCATCTTTGTCTATCCTATGTCCCAAAAAATTCAGGGAAGTGACTCCAATCTGACACTTCGGCAAGTTGAGTGTGAGGGAGTGTGTCACAAGTCTTCGGAAAACTGTCTGCAAATGAAGTTGATGAGTGGCTTCATCTGGACTAGCTACCAAGATATCGTCCAGATAGGCAAAGGCGAAATCAAGCCCGCGCAAAACGTCATGTATAAAACGCTGGAAGGTTTGGGCAGCGTTCCGTAAGCCAAAAGGCATTCGAAGAAACTCGAACAGGCCAAACGGTGTAATCACAGCAGTCTTAGGTATATCCTCGGGGTCGACGGGAATCTGGTAGTAAGCCCGTGTAAGGTCCAGTTTGCTGAATACTCGAGCTCCCTTGAGTGAGGCGGTTAAATCGTGTATGTGAGGGACAGGGTAGCGATCGGGAACAGTTTGTGCGTTTAGTCTGCGGTAGTCGCCACAAGGACGCCAATCTAAACCGTTATTCTTAGGTACCAGGTGCAACGGTGAGGACCACGGGCTGCTGGATGGCCTAATAATCCCCATTTCTAGCATATGCTCAAACTCCGCTTTGACAACCTTTAGTTTTTCTGGGGATAGTCGCCTCGGCTTTGCGAAAACTGGCGGGCCAGTAGTGACAATATGGTGTGTGACGTTGGAAGTCGCACATGGCAGGCCGCTGCTAGGTTTGAACAAATCTGAAAAAGACTGCAGTATATGCGAATAAGGACCAGTGCTAGTGGGTGTGGCATATACAGGGCTGAGGGCTGGGCCTTGTGTGACGATACCGCTGACGGAGAGGTTTGTGACAGGATCTCTTAACTTATGATTACCTGTATCTACCAGTAATTGGTAGTGCTGCAATAGATCCATGCCAATTATACCTGTGGTAACGTCTGCCACCAGGAAGACCCAACGAAGTGAACGACGCAAACCGATGTTAAGATCTATAAAGCGCCTGCCGAACGTAGCAATTGGCGAACCGTTTGCGGCTCGTAGTTGAAGAGACATTGGCCGCCTGCGCTCCTCTACTGTGGGTGGGATTACACTGACCTCCGCTCCGGTATCAATTAGGAAGCGTATCCCAGTGTTACGGTCGGTAACATAGAAGAGGCGACATGAGAGCGGTTCGCCAGCGACGTTAGTCGCCAGTACGTGCTGGCTTGCTAGTTTCCCGATTGTTGAACATCGAAGGTGCACGGGCGAGTGCACTTTTGGGCTTTTGCTCCGTAACGTCGATGATACCAGCACACTCCAGGCTGGTTACTTCGGGACTGTCGGCGCTTGCTGCTAGCACGTGACAAGGGTCTACTACTACGCGAACTCGAGGGACTGCGTCCACGACTCCTGGAGTTCATCTCCTGTCGTATACTACAGATCTCCTCGTATAGCTTGGCTATATGGGCCACCGCGTCAAAGCTTGATGACCCCCCATCAGCCATCTTGCACACAAGACAAAATATTAACAAGGTGATAAAAAACCAATATAAGTACAAACAAAACAAATCAAATCTTTATAACCGTGCGTGAAAGAAAAGAAAAAAAATAACAAAATAGACGGTACGTAAAAAGAATTGTTAACACGTTAAGCTACTATGGCAGAAAACGGTGAAAACGGGCTCACCACTTGTAAGTGTTGAGGTTAGACTTAAGATAGTCTTCGATATCACCACACTTACTAAAAACTTCACCGTCTTATGACTTTACCAGTACTCTACCTAACGTGTAAGTACTGATTAACTCAATCAAAGTTTAAAAGCTAACAATGGAAAGAATTCTTAGTATGAGTTGTATTTAACGTAACTGAATAACAGATTTAATAAATAAAGTGACTGTACAACTTATCTGCAGACGTTGCTGGAGGTAGGCTCGGAGAGTGTGCAAAAAGAGAGCACAACAAGAGAGCGAACCAATGAACGTACGGAAGACTCCCAACTCAAAAGATCAAAAGTCTATCACCGTGGGTGAGCGAGTTTAAACAAAAGTTCAAAGGTACAATGTACACTACAGTGCCCTGCTATTCCTACTACAAATAAATAAACTCTCGAAAGTTTCTACCTCATCTTCCTTACCATTTGTGGACGATATTAAGATACGGAAAACCGTAAATAGTAACGATGATGGGTTGGTAATACAAAACGACCTAAATAAATTAGCCGGACGGGCTAACCCCTGGCGTCTGGAAATTAATTCTAAGAAAAACGCGGCAATGCACCTAGCTCAGAGGTCTTACGCATTGTGCTCCCTGTGGACACAGATCCGCCAGATGTTAAGGGATGTAAGGACTTAAGGATTGTTGTAAGCCATGACTTGAAAACAACGCCAAATTGCAGTGGATCCGCAGCTAAGGCTTTACGAATGCTATGGGCACTTCGAAGGGCTTTCAAACGATTAGACGATTATATGTTCCAAGTAGTCTATGTAACATATGTCAGACCTTATGCAGAATACTGCATACAAGCCGCAAGTCCATGCTTTAAAAAAGGGGCGCAAATCCTGGAAAGATTTCAGAGAGTAAGTGGTATCTCGTACCTTCCTTATGATAAGAGGATGGAACATTTAATTCTCTCCCCATTATCATACCGAAGGAGATGCTACTTAATTTTGGCTTGCCGTATATTAAAAGGTGATTTAGGGATTGAAATTTCAAACTTTTTCTTTCCTTCTAGGATACTTTTACGAGGTCACCACAAGAATGTGCTCAAACCGAGGTCGCATAAAACACATGTGGAATCTAGGTCCTCTCACAGAGTGGTCAACAAATGGCACTCCTTACCTGATTCACTAGTTACAGCTCCATCGGTGAACGCTTTCAAAGATAAACTGAATATCTGCAGAGATATGTACCACTAGGATTAACATGGACAACAAGCGTCTTCTATCCGTACAACCTGAATTTGTTTTCAGAATGCGCTGCATGCTGACGATAGTCTTTCGAATGGATCACTAAATGCTTTGGCTATCTCTTAATTACTTAAAAGTTTTCTATTCTGGCCGCTGACGGCATGCGACCTCTGGCTATCAACCCCTCTCTAAAACATGAATAAGTAACGACTTTGAGAAGTGTTTTGTTTGAAATCGTGTGATAACAGTAACGAGTAATACACAGATTTAAATACTTCAGTTTAGTGAAGTTATTTAGTTTGAACAGGAGAAGCTCCCCACAGGAGACTTCTGTGTTATACCTCATATGGTTTATTGAAATTAAAAACTATGTGGTCTGATCTATTAGGTAGGGTATTTTATTTGTGTATTAGTATAAATAACCCACATAAAACATTTTTGAGGTATTGGGTTTTTTTGGAGGGGGGGGGGTTCTGGGAAAACGTAGGCCTTTATTCAAAAGTCTGGCGTTCATTCACCTCAAAAAATCTAGAAATTGCTGCAAATATTTTTGTTTGGGTATCCATTATTAATCTAAGCGTAAGCTTACAATTATTATCATGATTACCGATATATATCGGTACATATGTACACATATTATTCTTCAAATTTAACCAGTTGACTGTTGTTACGTTTTCTTTATTTCTTTTTCTGTCTGTTAGTCTGAGTGACTTCACTACCCATGGGTAGTGTGATTGAATTATTTAATTCTGACATCCAGAAGTAGCCACTTGTATACAAGGTTCAACTTAGTGCATATATGGAGCGTTTATACTAAAGATAATATAAGGTTGTCCAATATCCAATATCGTTTTTACGAGCTAGTATAAACAAATTTGATTTCTTTGTGCTCGCCTCTTGATTGTGAGGTATAGGATCCGGATCTTCGGTAAACTTCTGCGTAGCTCGTCCTACAACTCGACTGTCGTAGCTTTGGTTGACTCCAAAAGGAGTAGTGCTGGGATTAATTATATGTGATTTGTAGCACGAGGTGTGTTAAGACTGTTACTACTGTAAATGGAGTTGATCCTCTCACCACTTGATCCTCCAGTATCGTCGTCAAAAGAAAAGAGATAATAATAATAGATATAATTAGTGAAGTTATTCAGACTAACAGACAGAAAAAGAAATAAAGAAAACGTAAAAACAGTCAACTGATTAAATTTGAAGAATAATATGAATAATATATGTACATACCAGTAATAATAATAATAATAACTGTAGTTGAAGTTGTCAGGAGAGTAAGCCGAGTGAGGATGTAAAGAAGTAAAACGACAAGTTTAGTTATCTACCTCTGAATGGTGTAAGGGATTTCAAAGGGATATGCCATTTAGACGCAGTCCTTGTGTCGCTGAATGATTGTCCAGCTTTCGCTTAAAGGTTTCCACATACGGTGATATAGCTACATCTGCCGGTAAGGAGTTCCAGGGATGGCGAACCCGCAGTGAAAAGAAGTTGGAGCGCAACCGGGTCCTTGCCTTCTGGTGAGCTCTGCTTCTGGGATTCCCACGAGGAAACCTATACCTACTAAATGACAAAAACACCTTTGTTTGGGTGATTCTGGTCATTTGTTATTTTGTACGCAGTAATTAAATCCCTTCTAAGCCGACGGTAGCTAAGTGTGAATGGGCCTAATTTCTTCAGCCTTTCATCATATGGTTTGTTTCGGAGACCAACCACTCCTTGTGTTGCCCGTCTTTGGACTCTTTCCAAGAGGTTGGCGTCTCTTCTAAGCAGTGGGGATGCAATAATATTATGCACTTCAAGTTGCAGTCTGACGTATGTTTTGTACAATCTCAGAAAGAGCTGAGGATTGAGTGCACCTAACTCTCTATGTGTAAAGTGTATGACCGCATATGCCCTCCCTATGTTCCTTGGATAATTTACGCTTGTGTCCATTTTTTCCGTTACAACTAGACCTAAGTCACACTCCGACGTTGTGCAGGACAAGCTTTCATTGCTCAGGGTGTAACTTGCATTCCGCAGTCTACAGGTGCGTAACTTCACTACTCCGCACTTTTTCAGGTTGTAAGTCATGGCCACCACCCAGTCTTCCAGAAGGTTTAGATCTTCCTGCAGTCTATCTGAGTCCTCCGCAAACTTTATCGCCCTCCATATCTTTACGTCGTCAGCGTATAAAAGACTCGGGCAGCTTAGGCGGCATGGTAGATCATTGGTAAAAATCAAAACATCAGTGGTCCTAGTATAGAACCCTGCGACACTCCTGATGACCAGCTGTGCCAAGATGATCGGACTCGATTGACCTTAGTGTAAAATTAGCAGTAATTTATGTGAACAATCGAATTACACTTGTTGTTATTCACTAATTTTGAGTCACAAGGAATTTCAAACATGTGAAAATTACTTCTTACACCTTTAAATATAATCCTATTACATTTCAGAGTTTAACGAGTAGTGATTTTCACTGTATATTTTAATGACCTAATTTTAGTTCATACTAGAAATAAATTTGTTTGAAGACTTATACATGACTGAGACTGAAACTATTATCAACTCTCTTTTTATTTCTACAGATTCGCAGGAGTAAGTGAAGACGTTTTCTGTACTGATTACGTGAAAATTCAAAAACGTCCACACACTTCGATATACCAATCATTGTAGAAATTTCGTAGAATCAGTCTATAGTGTTTGCAAACCTATAGTTCTCCTCAAGGAGGTCGATAGTTTTCATGGGACCACTAGATGTGAATGAATACAAACATATTCAGCGTAAAATTCATGATGAATAAATTAACCATCGCAGACTAATTCAAGAAATGGATTTTCTAAGAAATTTATCTTTTGATGAATCAGTTTGTGAAACATTTTCATCATTATCATTCAAGTTATCAGAAAGCAGTTTTTGGAATTTGTATAAGTCATCGAGTAATGTAAGTTTTAATTCCATGTTCATTATTATGGTTATTATTATTACTATTTTGTAGACGGTTAACTCTAAACAAGAAATAAGAAGCAGTACAAGTAAAGAAAAACCTAAAATCATTTTTCCCAAAACATCGGCTTTGAGAGAATCAGCCTTCTCAAAGATATCTGATTTGGTATGTTATTTTCACAGTTTTATTCAATGAAATGTCTGTCGAACATTTTTTCGTAATGTCACAAAAGTGATGCAATATCAACGCATGACAAATATAAAAAAACCCGTTGACACTTTTATTTTGCACATATTTAATCATAATAATAGTAATGTTACAAGTGTAAGGTCAAACCAATTAAAGAGGTGTCAACATCATTAAGACACATTACGACTGTACAGCCTCTAAAGGTATCAATTATAAGTGCACTAATTATTTTTTATGATATCAGTTAGAGGACCAATGAAGACTAGAGAGTACTGGACAGCTGTTTCATCCTAGTTTGGGAATCATTAGCAGTACGCACCCGCCACCAGGGTCCGAACCCAGAACCTCCCGGTTACTAGGCAAGCTGGCTCGTATACCGTTCAGCCACTGGAACCCGATTCAATGGCCCAGTGTGTGTATACTGCCGATGTTTCCCAAACTAGGATGAAACAGCTGTCCAGTACTCCCTGATTTTCAATGGTTCCCTAATCGATATCAGTCCGTGATCAATTCATAAAAACAAATCTAATCCTTATAAACCAACTGTTGAAAAGTACCTATTATTGTAATTGGAGTAAGTGTGGTTACTTGCAGTAACTGTGCTCAAAATATAATAAAGACTTAAACTTGCCACTATCTGTAAACAACCATTACAAATACATTTATAGTAAGTTATTTCATTTCAAGATGGATAACCTTTCACCAATTTTTGCAGATACTTCCGAAAGATGGAGTATCAACTAAATTAGAAACAGCACAGTGTAATAAACCAACAAACCTACTAGGATTAGGATTATAGATGAACATATTATGGTGAGTGTGTCAGTGGTTCACTTTTAGAACGCTCGCCAACAGCACACGTGTTCGGGGGTTTGATTTCCCATGGAAGCACTCCTAAACCTCACTAAACAGGTAGTATGGCCGGTAAAAAGGGAAGGTTGGGCGTGAGGCTAGCAACCCCATATCGTAAAAATGAAACCACTACTGCTGAAACTTCAGCTCTGTAGCTTGAAACCCAATGTTCCACTAGAAATGTAAAGGAATTGAAAACATCATTACGGAGAACATATTTTGTCCTTTCATTCATGACAATCTAAGATATAATGTGAAGTGTGTGTAGTCCACTTTAAAGGATGCAAGATTTACTTATGATTCTATAGCTTCAAACAGTCTACCCGTGTGTTATGCATAAAATCGTGACTTGTTTATTTCTGAAGCAGTATAATTTAACCATATCAATGTGGGATTTTTGGAAGCCGAATCTACCACTTTTAAGTTTTAGTCATAGTGTTTCAAACTGAAGTTCGCTGGCAACTAAGTTTAGTTCGATAAGTTATAAAATCTACTGTAAGGTGAATGAGAAGCATTCGAGTTGTACTACGTGTTCAAACAGTGAAGTTCTAGAATGTAATAAATAACAGGATAAATTTCAATGAAATTCAAAATGTAATCTGATCAGGGATGTCATAACGTAAAGTGAACGAAGACTATTGTTTTTTCTTAGTTGTTCTATAGATAGAAATAAGATGTCTTACAAAAAGTAAACAGTATTTTAAGACATTCTTCAAACAGTAGTTTAAATATCCAAAAATAAATTATGTCGGTAAAAAAGGATTCATTCCTGCTATAGTGATACCGGATTTGTGTGTCCGTTCTCCTGTTACTTCAACACAACAACAATATACGACTGACCATTCGACTGTTATCCCCACACTGAGAAGACATATAGGACTGACTGAGAGTGCAAGACTTGTGTCTCTAAACACATAGCAATATTACTAGAAATGACAGCTATTTATATAGCTTTTGCACCAATAAATTGGTAGTTTGAAATATAAAACAGTGTTTTAACTGGTTAGTATGTAGCAATAATCTGACCTGAATCTTGATCTAAGTTAGAGTCATATATGTGGTGTACAGGTCAGGTAGGAGAAAGTGATCTATATTATACTGCCTTCTGACCTAACAGTTCCTTCAAATAGGGGAAATATATAAAGACAATAATCACTTTTGACTTGAATCGTGAATATAGATTCGATTTCTACAGAAACCAGATGAGGAACGGTTTTATTTTTTAATTAGTAAACTTAACTATTAAACATTAATGTTTGAATACCTTCAACGACCTTTTTAACTTTAAAAAGTGTGTAGTAAACTATCTTTAAAATACACTTTACTAATCTAACTGTGTAGGGGAGTACAGACTGTTTGGTTAGGGTCTTTGGGATGCTAAGAAATAATGGCTTGAAACTATCAGTGCTATGGCTCAAACTCATTCTTGCTGGCGCAGACACATTCAATCTTTGTGATCTCCATGTTGTTGTTCCCTCTCCGTCACATTCCTCCTCACTATGGTTCTTTTGAATACTGTATTTCACTACTATTGCGTACTACGTGAAACGTGGCAACTCGAACTGCTGGACTTCTGTGCAAATTCCTACGATGAAACCCAGGCGACCAGTCAGTAATGAGTCTGAGATATTCACCAGTGGTTATATACAAATGGTAGCGGTAAGCAGTGGAATGTAAGTTGTGTACTTCATTTGACTTTGGTTTTCAAAATTGGTTGTACTTACATTTCACTATATAGCTTCATAGTAGGATTCGAATCAAACATCTGCCATTTCAAACACCGGAATGTTTCACATTGGGCTACGATGTCATGACGTAGTATATAGGGCGCATATATTGTTAACTTAGGCTTTGGTTCCCATCTGATTTTGAGAAAATATTTTCACCATCCCACAATAGGGAAACATTTTCACTGACCTGATTTTCGTAATTTAGGCTTTCTGTTTGCTGATAAATAAGCTGATGATAATGTGAGCTATAGTTTATAGTGCTTATTCTCTCCGCGTTTCGGACTCTGTTTTGCACCGTTTTGATAAACTAAAGCGTGTTATTTCTGTTCCCTACATAATCGTCACGATATAAGGTAGTTTGGGGCAGAAATATGGAAATAATATATCCTTTTATATCACCAATTTGATTTCCCTTGACTTATCGAGTTGTTTAAACTAACCAAATATTTGAAAATATTCTTTTAGTAGATTTCCTTTTTCGAAACGTTTTTGCTTATCTATTTTTTTAAAGGTAATGAAGACGTATGGAGACACGGCTGCAAGGTTTTAACAGTTGACTTTCTTTCAGTGCGTACGGGTTCAAATCTTGTTCCCTTTAGTTTATCCTCGTCGAATCATTAGCACTTACATATTAGGTGTGTAGCTTGTAGCCTGCTATACGAAACTTTGAATAAGCAAGAACAACAGTGGTTTGTGCAGAATAATATCGTCCTATCATTTATTTCGTTGGCTTCTCATCATCTGCTGGCTTTGAGCTCAAAGAAATCAATAAGTTTATGTACAGAAAAGATTTGATGTAATTGCAAATTTTTCATGATGTCAGTTGACAGAAAGTTCTAAAATTAGGGAACAATGCTCAGAAAATTGCGCTTATTTAGTTTTTACACAGGCAGTTCAAATTTAAACAAAATAAATGTATGCATACAATGTTAAGGGAGTTAAGTAATAAAGACGGTAGATGTGTAAGATGCTGGGTGACTAATAAATTAGGTAACAATGTACTGAGCTCAACTCAGATCAAAAAAACAAGAGACAAGCTAAATTACACTATATATCAAAAGGTTGAGGTTAAAGCCAAAGATGTTGAAGTCTTTAAAGTAAAGTTTTGAGCATATCGCGTACTATGTGTTTTATTTTAATATTTGTGAAGAAACCTTTTTACAATCAATGGACAGGAAGATATCAAAATATTTTTTGCTGTGATTTTTTATTTTTATTATTTGCATGACCTTACTGATTGATTATTTACTTTTAGGTCACTACAAAGAGTAATGATTATCAGAAAAGAAAGATACCGAAATTTATGTTGTAAGTTTTTAATAATCTGTGCAGCTGTTAAACAAGATGTCGTCAAACTACATACTACATTCTCAAGAGTTCATTTGAGTACTTTTCGGAATAAATTCTCAAGTCATTTCATGATCTAACTTGAAATCTCTCAAATCCGTACAAACCAACACTTAAAAATAGTAAGACTTGGTCTACTGGTGATTCTCCACGCTAGATAGGTTTATTTTGATATAACACGCAGTCATAGAGTATTGACAATTGGGTGACGTTTCACCTCTTCCATGCGTATCTACCAATTTAACTGCTCCTGTGGAGCCATTTGCATAGCCCGTAAAATTAGGCATGTTTGTCGTGAGATTTATGAACATCAGCCTGCATGGCGGTTAAGTAAGGGACAAATAAAATCTATTTGTAGCGCTATTCTATCTCATCTTGTGGATACAGAACACAAGATTGATATCAATGTGGCTTTCAAAGTAATTTACTGCATACCAACAAATCTTAACTTCGCCGTAAGAGTTCATTTACTGAATATTGCTGAGGCCGTTGGGATCTACATTTAGAAGCTTAATTTAGGTATCCAAAAGAAGCTAGTTCAGACATTGTCCTTACCTCGGCCATCTACGTTCTAATGATCCTCAATTTTTTGTAGAAATTTCCTTAATTTTAGTTGATATTCTACTTCCTATTATTATTATAATTTAAGCATCTTTAATGAACTGTAATTCTATTGATCTTACTTTACAAATCCATATTATCTGAAAAACACTAATACTATTATTGACTACTACTCTAGAATATTCTGTGTATATAAACATTTATATATAATTGTAGAACCAGAAGAGGGAATTATCTAAAAGGATATTCTTTGCTCACTTATTTTGTTCTTTATAGATGTCTGAATGAATATTTTCGTATTAATAAATTTATTGATCACAATCATAATCATATTGATATGATTATGAGCAGTAAATTGTGTTCAAAACATCATCCACATGTTAACATCGTCTCATTGTATGTTATTTCGAATGAACTTGTCTAAAATGGAATTGTATTCTGCCATCATGCCTAAATTCCCTACTAAGATTAATTACTAGTAATTTTATCCTACCTTCTTTTGAGTATTTACTATCAAGGGACATTGTGTTGATTTCTTGACGAAGTCACTCATTTATATCTGAGGTAATTAGTCTGTCGCAACTTCATTGACTTTGAAAAGGCCTTCGACAGTGCTGACCATGAATTAATTTGGAAACTACTTCAGCAATACGCACTGCTCAAAATCTTTACCTACCACATTCAACAGCTATGTAAGAAAGCCACATGTCAATTGATCTACATTCGAAAACTCAACCATAGGAAGCACTGATTAGGTTTTCAAAGTCAGGATGAGAAAAGTATAAGACAGAAGATTAGGTTTTCAACACTAGTCTTAAGATAGTCATTACTTCTATATGGTCCAGAAACTTGGAACACTATAAAGACCATTTCCAACAAGCTTCAGACTTTTAGAAACAGCTCCCTTCACTCCATACTAAAGATTATTTGGTCATGAGGGATTAGCAACACAGTACTATGGGAAATGAACAAACCAAGAACCTGTTTCCCAGCAAATATGTCGAGCAAAATGAAGATAGATGGAATACACTCTTATTAGACCGTTCGGTGTAGTTATGCGCCAAGCAGTCCAGTGGGAGGTGAATGGGAATTGACTAGTTGGGCTTGTGTTCGAGGGTGCCATGCAGGAGGGTATGAGAACTTATGGTCAATCTTGAAACCAGCTAAATATTAATATGTTAGTAATAATATTAAAGCCAGAGCTGAAGATACTGTCTAGAAGGAAGACAAAAGCTCAGCAGTTAAACCAACCAGGTCATAAAGTACAATGAAATCAAAATCATCCACCTGAGCTACAAATATTTTCTATTATTTCTGACAAAACATTCTTTATTAACGTCATATAAGTAAAGGAGTATCATTCTTATGGTGAATATAGTCAAATAAAGCAGAAGAAAAACAGTGGTACAAGAGTAAGGTTTAGGCACTGTGGATGACTGTAATTTCATCATCCAATAATTTTATTTGTTAAAACATACAGTGATACAGCATTATTTATTTAATGATGTTTCAAGTATAATTTATTGCTCATCGGTAAATAAATAATATTTTGTATCATTCTGTGTTTAATCAAATAAAGTTATTCTAATATATGTGGTAGGAGAGAAAAAAACTTTATGGGAAATATCTGATAAATACTTTGACTAATAAGAATTTCGCGTCACAGTCATAAGATAAAGATTCCTCTCCCTTGTGAACTAGTGTAATAAAGAAGTAAGAGGAAAGAATAAAAATCTGGCATAAGTTATATCCTGGAATTTGGCGTTTACATATGCACATACTAATTAGTGTTATTATTCCCGCTAAGTAAAGATTTTATTTCACTTCCAATCTGATTGACTCTTGACTAATGATCTCCGACTTTCTGGGCATTTGAAGAAGCAAAAGTATGAGGTAAAAGTGGATAGCAAATGAAGCAGAAAAGAGTTGTGAAGAAAAAGTTTTAATTTTATTCGAAGATAGCATTTCAAGTGGAAATAGAGAAGACAGAGGTGATGAAGATATCAAACCGACAAAAACGAGCACTAATCCTAATCAGTGTGAGAAATCTAAAGAAAGTTACTTCTTTCACTTACATGGTTGTTCAGCATCGTTCCAACTAAAGTGAAAGGCAGCCAAGATTGGAAGAGAAAGATAGTCTTTCACAAATCTTCAGTTGGTTTAGAAATCCCATGGATTTACAATAAGGAATAAGATCTAGATTTTTAACACTAGTGTCGAGTCAGTACTTTGAATGTGGTCCAGAGATGTGCAGCGCAAGTCACCAAAGGCATTTCGAAGGGGATATGGAAGATTTTCATCAACAGCTGCCTTCCTCCCTTCGGTCGATAATGAAGACCAGATGATGAGATACGGTAAGCAGGCAACAAGGAACTCTGGGAACGAACCATCCAAGAATATTTTGTCCAACAAATATGCAGGAAGAAATAGAGATGGATGGGATACAGGCTTAGGAGATCGTTGAGTGTGTCACGCCCTGGAGTGGAATGTAAATGGGAAACGACTAGTTGGGCGTTGTTCCTAGGCTGACATGGAGATGAACATGTGAAGAGGAGATAAAAGCTTACGTACAATTGTGAGGCGAGCTAAAGGTGACTACAGAAACCTCGATGAAATGGAAATATGTTGTTGAAGCCGTATGTTCCACCTGGAGCCAAAAAGAATAGTAGTAATGAGTGACAAATTTATTCTCTAAAATGATAAGGTCATCTAAATTGGAACATGACTTTGTCGGATGAAGAACAGTAATATAATTGGTTGCTTCAAAAGAAGTAACTTTCTATAGGTCATATGAACTCGCATGACCATAAGTCTCTAGAAAATTTGAATGAAACTTAATAAAGACTAACTACTTATATATTTTGCAGTCTAGTATTTTTACTTTTCCCTTTAACTTTTATTTAAACCCATTTATTACCTATAAATTCAGTATTATCAAAGTCACGATAATTTAAATTGATGTGACTGGATTTAACTAATCAAATTCTTGTCTGTCTAAGCAATCGTCTATTAGCCGAAATTTCAGATTCAGCCTTTCTCTGTCTACAGTAAAGTTTCTAAAAATTTGACTGGTGTCTGTACAGAATAACGGAGACGACATTTTCATTTTAATTCGTTTATGGTTTGGTATTTCTTTAGATTTAAAGGGACCAACAGAAGAAAGCATAACGCTAAATCATCAGAAATTTCTGCTAGTGAAAATGCGTTGGCTTTGAAGGGTCAGTTTTTGTTTTCATAATTATCATCGACATACTCATTAAGTGTCTTTGTTTGAAAACACTTTCGTTTCTGTACACTGTATAGAAGTTTGAGTATGTAACTAAAAATCTCCATTGGTGATAAATTAGCGGTGATTATACGCAGTCATTTTTCATCATTTATCACATTTATTATACATCAACATTAATTTTATTTAACACATTTAGTGAATTGATAGAAAACCATCAATTTTTTCTGTTCTGTCTGGAAGATTAGTGCTCTTTAAACATTTGAGAAAAATGTGCTGACCGATAATAAGTGCGTAGTAAATGCTCTCCAACCACACACGTAGTTTGTGTCCGATTCCCAGCCAACTGACTCCTAAATGTCACCCAGTTTACTAATTTGTAGTGAGCCTGGAAGAGATGGCTAGCAATCCCACATAAATGTACAAAGATGTGTAATGAAACTACAATAGATGGAAATGGATGTAAAGGAGAATAATTTAATGAAGACTTGTGCATATTTTTTAGAATCCAGCAGGTGATGGGGAGTGAATATATCTTTCATAGTTGGGAGCAGTTACTATTCATATCACTAAGGATCTTTAAAAAAGATTCTTGCCATCCATATAGCCTCAGCAAAACAACCTACATCGATGTACTTAAATCCGACTAACTTATAAATCTTAAAGATGTGTGATACTTTTCCGTATGATCACTCTTGACTCTTTCTCAGCTTAATCATGTTCTAGCTAACATTTATTCTTAATGGCGGCATGAATTGGTATTCATAACACATAACCAATCCGTCGCCACCTATGGAGGTTCACCACTTCATCATTTGACCTTCGTTTCTTCCCCATCAATCTCTGCCTAACTACAATGTTACTCGTTCTGATATGAACGGCTGTAGGATAAAAATTTGTGTTTAAAACCTCATAATTCTTCCCTGTTGTCTTCAACCGATAGTGCGTTAGAGCGGTAAAATAGGACCAAGTCAGCTGTTTTGCAGCCCACAAGTCGTTTACTGAACCGCTGGATACCACATCAGCTCCGACTATGATGTCAGTTGGTAAGTCCTAAAGTAGGTTTCATATCTGCTTCGACATTTATTCAACAACTCATTCATTAGAATGGAAACAACATTCAGTATGAGAGAGGTACTCAACATTTTCAAATGTTCTATTTTCTGCAGTCAAACAAGAAGTCAGTGCAGAGGTAAATAACCTGTTAAATACTCTGCTATTTATGCTTAGGATGTTTCAAATACATTACATTCTTTCGACTTTTTGACTCAGAAGGAATGTATCATTTGTGTACTCTAAGTTAACAAAGCTTCCCAAGCATCGCGTTAATCTTGGAGAAATCAAGCGAAGTTTATGTTTATGTTGCCTTAAAACGAAAAAATAAAGTCTGACGGGCGTGTAGCTTGGTAAACGTGAGATAAGTGTGAAAGGATAATTAAATTAATTTGGGGATTGAAGGTAAGTTTGCCTATAGAAGATCTCATGTACGCATAAGCAACACAGTTAGGACCGCGTTTCTCTCTTACACACCTGACTTAGTAAAAAAATACGATACTTGACAAATTAGTATACAGAAAGCGATTAATAAATACACAAATCAAGCAAGAAGGTATTTGCATTCTCACAGCCTTTCAGTAATTGCTAACAGCCCGAAGTCCTTAAGGTTACAATGACACTCTTTAACACAATTTGGATGAGAACAGCAATTCATAAATTTTAACACACAATTGGGTTAAGGTATTTTACTTACAATTCCTGAACAGCCACCACTACTGGTGAATTATCATCCTCATTGTTAACTTCATCAACGAACTGATGAAATCTCTTCAAAACTCAGCAGAATCCACGAGCAATCTAGTCACTAGTGAAAAGCAAACTGGTGGATTTGATTTATTTCATGGTAGATCTCATTATGGACTGAAATCATTTAGAGAACGAAAGAAAGGACAAAAACTACTTCATTCTATTTCGAAACTATTCGATAGTACTAAACCACACCCCTCAAGAGACTTAATGCGGGACGCTCGGTACTCACTGACTATTGGATGTAATTATTATGGCTGTTGATATTTAGCTTTTCTTAGCGCTACGTTGTTCGTAACTGGTTTCTGTTCATTGTCTGTCCTGTAATGATAGAAACTCACCTCCTGTTCTAGAAGAAGCCATTTTTATGTTCTCTTGAATTTGTTTTAGCCAGTAAAAGCTATGCAAAGACAAAGTCAATAACTGATTCGCATATAAAGTTATCAGGATTTCGTTTCGATTTCTTAAAAATTCCTACACTTGTTAGTGGAAAGAAGCATTTCGACCAGTATTTGATACAAACATCGGATGAAATCCGTGAAACTCACAGATCACAACAGGTAAATTATATCAGTGAACTCCATAAATATCTTTTTGGTCAGCTGAAAACAGTTATCATTTTTTCATTATCAGGTGAAACAGGTTTAAGAACCATTTGTAAACCTGGGAGACTTGGACAATGCCTTCGTCCTAGTTTGGGACGCTTCCACAGGGGTTCGAACCCAGAACCTTCAGGTTAAAAGTTGAGCTCGTAGACCGATAGACCACTGATGAAGAGCCCCAAGACTGTGATGAAATAGCTATCCAGTACTCCCAGGTTTTCCGGTGCTTCTCTAACCGATGTCAGTTCATGATAAAATCCTATAACCAATGAAATCCCCACAAACTAACACTTGAATTATCATCTTATTGCGAGACAGTTTCCTGTTGAAAAAATAAGAATTACTCGTGGACTGAGACATAGGTATGTAAAATTTCGTTGTAACATAGCATACTATAAGTTGTGTTGTCTAGATAAAATTAATATCAGAAAATCACCATTTCGTTGGCTTAATAAATAATAATTTGCTTTATTCCAAAACAGTACTTGTGATACAGAATGGAATTCTCAGCATTTTTACTACAGTTAGTACATTAACAATAAATAAAGTTCTACATAGATTAAGGGTAATTTCAGTTCATTATGACAACAACATGTTGGCATGTCGGTAGCAAAGCCAAAATTGAACAGAGTATTTGAAGGTATTAGAAAAGTAGATGCTAGAATATTTACTGGCGTAAGCGGTAACAAAAATGTCGAGATATACAGAGTGTGAGAAAACGAAGACAAATGTTTTAAATAGAGTTTGTAAGGAAGAAAGAAACAAAGTAGCACATAACAGAAAAAAAGGAGAGAAATGGAAAGAAAGAAAACGTTGTACCTATAAATGATATGAGTTGGAAAGACGAGATCCAGTTGTTCTACTGACTATTTAATAAGTTATATGTATCAGGTCTAATGCTTTCTTTATCGCACAGAACACGAGCTAAGTAGGGTATGGTTGAGTTTTTGTACTTACTATTGCTAGCATATAGTTTTCTATATAGGCTTCTGGTTTTACCTGATGAGATACAAGGGGAGAGTTTTGAATGGAGAGGGTTTTGTGAGTTAGATAGAGTGGATTTAGCCCATTTTTCACATGTGTCCAAGTGCCTGTCGACCAGAATATTATTATGCCATGTCCATTAATAAATTCTGCTGCTTAAGAATTTAATGAGTTGTACAGATGTCATTTCCCTCATTTGTCATGAATATGATAAGGACTGTAAGGAGGATTTCATTTTCCAGGCTAATATCTGCAGATAAATTCTGAACTTAGTATACGGTAATCACTGAATTTGTAAATTCTATGAAGTTTTATGTTGATTTTAATGCCTTTCTTAGTCAATGATCCTTCATATGAAGTTATGTGATAGATAGAACCACCGGGAAAATGAATTTGTCCATAAAAAAAACCAACCAAGTTTAATAAAATCTTAGGATCCTTGAATAATCTATTCATCTAATTAAATAACAGTAAAGATACATTATTAGGCTGACAGATAAGAAAATTTATTAGTTTACTCAATGTAATAGTCTTTGTGAAATCGCTTTTTGTTGATTTCAGTGCAAGTCTGATAAGGCAAATGTGCAAAAATCCACTGTCAACCTGAAAAAGAATTTGTATGATCACCTTTTCGATGAAGCAGTTATGAAAGCTGAACTGAAAAATGTTTGTAAGTTTCAGTCGATATGCTTTACACCTAAATTATTACCATTAGTTGTTGAGACAAGTCATTTCTTGAACCAGTAAAGATAGTTGAATAAACTAAATGGACTTTAATCTTGTCTCTTGTATAAGCGGTTTCATTGTTTCTGATACAATATAATGAGAGTTTTTCATTATTTGCTAATAACTCTCAATGTTCTCGAAAGGAATTATGTTTCTTTTTAACCGACTTATATTAATAATAAATCGATTAGCTGCCTTATGTAACAATTTATTGAATCCATAATTGACTTACAAATAATACTCACGTATCAAAATTTCGCCAATAGAAACTAGGTCTGACTTCAAAATTCTCTGGCGTGTTTTGTATTACATAATATGGGAAAAAGCTTTTTGAATTCAGATATTTGGGACAGCTTTAATGAGTCACCATGAAGTCCATGAAACCTAACCCACTTATGCCGTCCACAGTTTCTGACGTCAAAAACGTCTCTACCTGAATCTACAATTCAGTGAGGACTCATCAACAGAAATACTGAGAAACAACCTGTCCCGCTCACTGAACAAAACCTTCTTCGCGGCTGAACTCCAAATAACCTTCTCTGCGAAACCAATGATTCGCATGAACGTGAAGGGTAAGCCACCACTGTTGGTTTCATCAATGTGTATCTATTAATTCACCTGCTCGTTTGGAGCTATGTATGTCGGCCATACATGGCGTTTGCTATCCAAACGTATCTTGGAACTCTTACTCACAGTCATGGTTTTATAAAGGAGAAAACAGGTTCTCCTGAACCTCTATTTCCGAGCAGCTGATCGAAACCCTTAAAATAACTTCAAAGTCATCTATAAAAAACGTGAAAATCTTGCTAAAAGAGTACGAATCAAACTTCTTCAGACCGCAGAATCAATGGTGATTCACATGTTAGGCCCTAAACTCTGTATGCAAAAGAAGTTTGTTCAGTCATTAAATCTACAATTGACCTGATCTGTCTTAACATCAAATACATAATTTTTGTCTCGTCTTTTTTTCGTTCTCAAGAATTGATTTGTTTTTTGAGTGTGATCACAGATTGATATCAGTTAGAGAACCATTGAAAACCGGAAAGTACTAGAAAGGTGTTTTGTCCTAGTTTGGGGAATCATTGGCAGTACACTTGCTTGTTTCATAACCGTATTATTTTCTTCCCACCACCACTTTTTACATCTGTGCCCCTTATTAACACTGTTGTTAACCTGACTTTTATTCATTTTTCATTCTAGTTGAGCTCTACTCAACCCTGTCAATTAAATTAGATTAGGTTATCCATAATTTTACACCATACAAATAAAACCTTTTTATTGTCCTGTTAATTCCGATAAACTGAAGTCCCCGTGGTATTTATTTCACGAATCTTCATTTGAAGTTGTGAGAAAACAACATCAAGAGATTGTGACTAGGTAGTTAGTAAATCCGTCATTATTGTTGAACTCCATGCGCCGATAACTTGGAATGAAAATATGGACTTGCAGACACTCATAAAATAGCCAAACCAAAAGATTAAATTGTTCCAAACAGAGTTGCATTAAAAAAAACCACTGCAAAAACACTGTATTTATGAAATACAACGAGTAATTCTATTACCAACTCTTGGTTTTTCGGTTATTCAGCTTCCAAACATACATAACGTGACGGCTGAACAAAATATCTGGAGGTCAACAAAGATGTGAGTTCAAACATATTATGCACGAAAGCCCAAGATGAGCAACAGAAATGTCTAACCTACATAAAAGTAAAAAAGGTGTATAAAATATAACACCACTTCTTCGTAAAACGATTCTAGATGTAAAAATTATGATAAAAGGAGTTCGTTCAGGCTTTTGGTCTGTAATCATTACAATCGTTTTATTTAATTGATTGATCAGTGTTAAAAATTTAGCAGGTACCTAATTGGTTAAGAGATCATAAGTAATTTTAAAAACATGGGAGGGCGGCTTAAGCAAATATGTAAAAGTCAAAACTACTTTTGATTTTGAATACAAAAAGGATTACCTGTTGGTTTGTTATCGGGATGCACTAAATGGGTTTTACATTACAATTTTTTTCATTCCTTTGCGTTTCGAGCAGAACAAATGGCTTTAAGCTTGAGTTATGAAGTTTCAGCAGCGAAGTAGCTAAGCGAAGTTTAGGAGTGTATCAGTCAGGAGTCGAACCCGGGACCACACACATGGTCGGCGAGCATTTAATCATCTCACCACTGATGCGTCAATAAATCATTATTCTTCAACCTGACCGACATTTATTTAAACAGACAACTTGAATTACTGATTGCTGACTTTATAGAGTCATTTTCACGGATTTAAGGATAACTTTGAACTGGGGAACAATGTTGCATATAATGGAGATTTATTCAAATACACTCGGACAATTTTGTTTCAATTCTAGTTCAGTTACGATTTCGAATATTTGGATCAAGTATCGAATATCAAACATCCTGATTTCTTACCCCTTTCATCTTTTGGAAACCTTTTATTATTATTTAATCGAGGCACATTCGCAAGTCGTATCAGTTTAAACATAATTATTTTGGTAAAGTTATTTTATGCGTGAAACGCCAAATTTGTATCTTTTCGTGGTCAGCTGATTTGAAGGTTAAATTATGTGACGATCTGTTACCGATGTTTTATTATCTATTCAGACTAGTATTTTCAAGTATAACTTTTCTAAGGATATTTTTCTGATGTGGTTTTGTTCTCTGAGCTGGATGGTTAGTTTGCGAAGCTTTTATCACCTTACTGGGTGACATCTTCAGCGCATACTTCAATTTGAAGTGAGCTTTTAGATTTCTCCACGAGTTTATTAATCATCTCTCCTGGTGACCTTGGGCGTGATTGGTTGTTTGTGTGTGTTTTCACACCTTCTAGGTTACTTGTATTGGAACCGGTTGTTTCTTTGACTTGAACTTTGACCCTTTGTGTATGAAGTTTCTTTCTTATTGGTTGATAACTTTTGTCTATCTCGATGTGTCTATTGATTGATGATTCACTGGAATGCCAAGCTTCTAAAAATTCTCTAGCATTCTTGTTATTTCCTTTGTCTAATATTTGAACGTTGTCCCAGTCGAATTGATGCCCGTAGTCGTCTGTGTGTAGTGAAATGAGGGAGTGCATATCATGTCTTTTGACGGCTAGCTTATGTTCGTGGATACGAAGACGAAGGGGACGTCCACTTTGGCCGATGTAGTGTTTTTCGCAGTTGTTACAGTTTATTTTGTAGATGATGTTGATTTTGTCTTCTTTCGCTGTTGAGTCTTTTGGTTGACATAGAATTGAGTGCAGCGACTTTGTTGGGTAGTGTACGACGTCAATTCCTAAAGGTTTGAAGAGTTTTGTAGTGATTTCTGAGATATCCTTTGTGTATGGTAAGGCAATTTTCTTTGTGCTTTCCTTGGTGGTTTTTGCTTTGATAGGTTGGCTTGGGGGTATATGTCTCTTGATGAAATTCCGTGGATATCCATTCTTTTGGAAGACGTCCATGAGATACTTTTCTTCAATTTTCCTTAAGGTGAGAGTGCTGCAGTGAGTCCTTGCTCTCTCTCTTGAATAGAGAGACTGGTTCCAATGCAAGTAACCTAGAAGGTGTGAAAACACACACAAACAACCAATCACGCCCAAGGTCACCAGGAGAGATGATTAATAAACTCGTGGAGAAGTCTAAAAGCTCACTTCAAATTGAAGTATGCGCTGAAGATGTCACCCAGTAAGGTGATAAAAGCTTCGCAAACTAACCATCCAGCTCAGAGAACAAAACCACATCAAAATCATCCACCTGAGCTACAAATCTTCTCTATCATATCTAAAGGATATTTTTACAAAGAGATAGCTGATCCATTGACATTACTGTCGACTTTAAGTAATTGTGTTTCGTAGTCTTGCAGGCGAAGAGGTTGGTAAGAACTGAGTTTTATGAGTGTTTTAGATGAGGACATTGACTCCAACGGTGATTTAAGTATAGAATGCTTCATGAATGACGCACTCCTAGACTTCCTCCAGCCAGTAGTGGGCTCAGAAAAGAGGGAAAGCGGCGGGTAAGGCTTGCAACCCCACGCTGTTAAAACAACACAACCGCTACTAGAGCTTCAAAATTCGAAGCCCTGTGTTTCACTCGGAACTCAAAGGAATTCAAAAATGCGTCATAAATTAAATAAACTCCACTAGAAGTTATCGCTTTTGTGTCTTTTAAAGTACATAAATATATTTGTTTTTGTCCTTTGTTATGAGGTTCTAAATAGTTGTGTCTGAATATCTAGACAATGTACTTGTACTTGGTGAATTAAGGAGGCAGTATCTGTGAGTGTGGTATGGTAAAGCATTAAATTAAAATGCTTACTTCCAACTACATTAAATCATCTAGTGACCAGTGACAGATCCCATCTTTATATCATAAAACCATTTTCTAAGTCGATTGCTTTTTTGGTTTATTTATGCTTCCTTTTACAGTATTTCTATGGGCAAAGGAATGTGAGGTTGAAATTTCAAAGTTACCGTTAAATAAGATTGATCATATTTTAAACTGTTCAAATACAATTGAAAATAAAGTTCAATTACAAGCAATTGTTTCCATTGGTCTTTTTGAAAGCAAATTTGAAAGTAAGTATTACTCAATACTTCTTCGGTTTTCTATCTAGTCATATGATTAAAAAATGTGTCTAAAGTATTTTTCAATATTCTAATTAGCCTGCTGTTTTATGTAGTCAGTCCAGGTTATGTAGCAAGTAAAAGTACAAGTGTGAAAGTACACTGTTCAGGTAATAATTACAATACTTACAAGTGGATTTAATCTAGCTACATACTACTAACTGATTGATATGAGTAGCTGATTGGCACACACACACACACACAAACACACACTGGTTGATACCAGTAGTGTTTGCTAGCCAGATCGAAGTGATCTTAACACACTTTGGTGAAATTTCACCTCGACCCTTGTAAATTGCAAATCACGAACTCGGGTTTAATCTCCCATGATTAAAAATATTACTTTATGAGTATATTCCTTTCAGATCTACCAGTGATTTTGAATAATTTCACTCAGTTTTGCTTTGTTGGCACACTAAAATTAATGCTACATCAGATTAGATGGTGTTTGTGAATCAAATAAATGAACTGAAAAGACAAATAGCGCATAACTGCAAATATTTCATTGATAAAGTACCGGTCTACACCATTCGAGAAGTAAATTTACAAGCGTAAAATTGGTCATAGTATGTACAGATGTTAATTTTGAGGTATCTATAAAGTGAAATTATTTTGATTCAGATCACCATTTTAAATGAATCAAGTTATTTGGGCGTAGCGAAGAACAAAGGGAGAGAAAAGGAGCTAAAGTTATGCACTACTGAGCAGTGTGGCACTGTCATATTATCTTTGTAGTTGTTTTTCTGCTCGAAAACATTCGCTTGAACTGCAAAAATGTTTATCATTGCGAGCATATCCTATTCAAATTAGGATTAAGAGATCATTCAAAAAATTATACTCAAATTATAAAGGTGAAAGATCCACAAAATTCCCCGTGACGTTGCTTTTTTACGGTACGCTGATTACAGTGAACCCAATTAAATTTGGTGGAATAATTTTATTTTATACTGCCTCGGTACAAAATGAGAAGTTTTATATTAAGTATAAGCAGTATTATTTTGTTAGACGAGGATTTTTGTACTCAAAATTATGATCATTCAGCATCTTAATATTTAGAAGAACACATGTAAGCGACCAATCCTGTTTTCAATTAGATCTCATCACCCTTTGTTTACTTCCATTTGTGAAGAGGAGCATGATAATACACAGCATTTTCAGGATGTCAAGCTTAGTAGGCGAGAAAATGGGTCACTTTGAAGAGGCGTGTATAGGGAAAGCACATTTACAGGGCAGTACAAGCGCTTAGTTATGTGTCCATTGAATATAAAAGAAATATTGTCAAGTGTCTTACAAGCACCTCAAGAAAGATATGTACGAAAAATCACTTACAAAAGGAATTTGAAAATATTCATGATTCTTTGACACAGATAGTCCCTAAAGAAACATATGAAAACTTTAGATGGGAAACGTGGGACGTTGACAGCGTGAAAGAAACCATAATTTATTTAGTAACAATTTAATGGGGACTTCTTAAGTGAGATTTTGTTCTGGGGGGGTAGCTCGAGACATACGGAGAACATCTTACGTAGCAAACCTGTGTTTGTCATTTTCTAGTTGAAGAATAACTGTAACTCAAAAGAAGGATAAGTTGGATGGTTTCGCCACATCTATGTGTACTTATCAGTTCAGTTGCTCTTGTGGAGATAGTTATGTTAGGCATAATACTGGATATTAGGTAGTTGGAGGCAGTCGGCAGGGAACCTAACCTGACCTAGGTTTCGTGCCAGCTGGAACTCGTCAGCAAGGCGTATCTGCAACATTGGAGGAACTCCTGTCCCTTCTGAGACTCGAACCCGCGTCACCCAGTGCTGCAGTCAGAGTGGTTATCATTTAGCAATTTGGGCTCGCCGATTGCCTCCAACTATCCAATATCACCAAATCAATGTGCACCATGACGGTTAGCTACATAGAATGGTGGCCACATTGCGAACCTTACTGACAGCCTCTACCAAAGAAAGGACTAGACACGTCTCACTAGTTACTAGCGTCCAATCAAAATATTAGTGGATAGTTTGATCAGAGTGTTAGTGAACGTTTCCTACCATCGTTTGGTAAAGCTCAGACAAAAATCACCCCAAGCCTCGTTTTGTCACTTGTAGATAGTGTTTATTTAGTAGAAAAAATGAAAGCATTCCAGGTGATTCATCAAATCTACCGAATCCTTCCAACGGGCTTCATATTCGTTTAATGAATGTTGGTGAGGGGATAGGCATTCGAACTATTAAACCTTAACTATGTACTCAGAAGAAGCCCGTATTGCTCCTATCTCTCCCTTGGCAAGTTAAGATCTAACCGACTAACGGTATTATCAGCCCCCTCCTTATGTATAGTTGTTATCATGACCAACTTAACAGTCTGTATGCAACCTTAACAATCTTATCATCCTATAGACAGATCACCATGATGGTTTGTATTTATTATTTATTTGCAAAGCTATGTATATTAGAGTAAAGCCTGATCAGATCTAACTGAAAATTATTATTGCTCGCTAACAAGCGTTGTTCTGAATTTTACTACGACAGTTTTTAATATTTGAATAATTTTGTTTTTTTACAGGCATTGAACTGGACAGACTCCGTGATTGCCTTCTATACAAAGGTGCAGATATTATTCTGGCCATTTGTTTATGCCTTACTATAATGGGCTATTCAGATCCAAAATGTATTGAAAAACTGTATGAATTAATAACTCTATGTCAAAATTCAACAAAGACAGATGAAGCGTACACTAGCCACTCACTAACAATTTCATATACATCATTAAATCTAATGAAATGGGCAGCTGCAATGTGCTTAGCTAAATTAAATCAATGCAATCTAGAAATAATCAACATTTTAACGAGACCACTATTTGATCAGTTAGTTCATTTCATTCCTGAGCAATATCCAAATAACCGTTTTAAAATACAAACGCAGGAATCTGATTTTCCTATAAAAAATTCAGCAGATTTGAAGGAAAAACGAACTCATTCTTTTGTTTCAAATCTTTCCAATATGATTAAATTTGACTTAAATAAAAGAAATACTTTTTTAAATGCAATTGTTTACTATTCCGAAGTCAAAATGGTTTTACGTCTTAGCAGAGATAATGTGAGTTGGTTTATTATATATATATATATATATATATATTCATTATATTTTATCCCTTTTCGTTCCCAGTGTAATACAAAGTTTCAAGCTTTGAGATTTGATGTCTAGGGGGCAGTTGGGTTATTCTTATTTTACAAGGTGAGGTTTTTATTCTCAAGTTCATCTGTCCCTCTTTACCTGCCTTATCACAGGCTGAAGTTTAGAATTGCGTCAACCAGGGAATGGATCTCGAACCATGTTGATGTTTTGGTGTTCATTGTACCCCTGAAACACCGAGCCGCATTTATTACATCTTATCATTCTTCAGCCAGCTTTATAATAAGTATAATTTTGTAAAGTAAGAACAACTAAAACTATGGGATGAATTGAAGCAGATTGAATTTTGTGCTCTGAATGTTTGAAAAATGCGCTAGGCTGAGAATTCGTGCACTATTTAGTGCTTTGAGATATCACGGTCAAATTCAAAGGAAGTTAATATAGCTTAGTGATAGAATCAACACAGGACAAGCGTTTTCACATCTAAACAAATATATATATATATTCACATTGCACAAATTTTCAGTTTGGTGAGTTTGTTGAGCGAACTGATTATATGAAATAGATATACTTATTTAAGTATTAAGGAAGTTCTCTGTTTGGTTTTTGCAATACAAACACTCACCTATGACATTCGCCAGTGTTCGCACCAATTCGTGAATTGGCAGAAGTTAGAATCTATGGACTGGCCATTGGATTGGCTTCCAGTGGCTTGAGGGTCTACGAGCTCACCTTGTAACCGGAAGATCTTGGGTTTGAACCCTGCCGGTGGATGCAAACTTCTGGAGAGTCCCAAAATAGGACGAAACAGCCATCCAGTACTCTCTGGTATTCCAGTGGTTCTCTAACCGATGTCTATTCATGACGAATTCGTGAAACCAATCAAATCTCTACAAACAAACACTTGAATAATAATTATATAAATCTTCAAATAATTATTTGACCACGTAGCTTGATGTGATACAACTCCCACTGATGCGGGCAAAAATACGCCCTTGAATTTGATAACCAAGAATATAATTTCTACAGAAAATTCCTCCACACTCTGTAAATTCTCCACAGAATCTGTATAGATTGAGGTGTAGTAAGACACTATTTTAAGTCATTACCCGATTAAATAGTTGACGGAAAAAAGTGGCACACATCATGGAAGTAAGTTATTAATTAAACAGGCTTTTTAAAACGTATTTGATTAATAAACTTTTTGAGTTAGTGGATAATGCCAAATTGCAGCCAGATGTAGCCATTCTGGCTACGTTACGTAACTTGGGCAAATAAGATTCGTAGGTAGATGGCCTCACTTTCCGAAAATCCCGAAAACAACCAATTTCTTCCAAGACGCTGTGCCATCTGACCTGTCTACGCTGTCATATGCCGCCTTCGCTCGGCCTCTCAACAGCGTCCCCAGGACGACTGCCTTCGCCGCCTGCTCCTTGACACCTGCCAGCTCAGCGACGGCCTCGAAGTCACGTAAGAAGCTCCGTATGTCTCCTTCTTCAAACGCAGTTGGCCATGGGATCTTCATTTTTTGGAGGCAGTGACACCAGTTGTAACAACAGAAGACAAGGGCCGGCAACAGATCCTTTTATTACGGAAATCAGCACGTATTTATATATATTTCCTGTACATTATTATGGCTTATTCAAATAGACAAACACAGTCTTCGGATTGGTCGTTTCTGGTTTCTCGGAAAATGAGGCCATCTATCTGCAAACCATATTTGCCCACGTTAAGTCTGCTGTGATTGGTTGTTGAATCAACCTTGTTCATATTTTCTCACGGCCAATATTAGTGACCTAGAGATTGACGTGGATTAATGTCTACCAATTGGCTAGCAGCCTGCTCTCACCACACTAGTTATACTGATATTCACATATTTGAGAATTTGTTTTACAGTTTGAATTAGTAGAATTTCTTCTTATCGTATCTGTTTAGTCAAGAAACATTGTCATGATTTGTGTGCAAAAATACTAATCAACAAATTCATCCAATACTTAAACATCAATCGGTTTTCCTCTTTTGAGCATAAACTGTCTGTCAGATTAGTTAGCTTCAATAATTTATTTTCTGGTCACAGGATTTCATCATGAGCTCATATTGCTTAGTGAACCATTGGAAAACCTGGGAGTACTGGGCAGCTGTTTCGTCCTAGTTTGGGACTCTTCAGCAGAACGTATCCATCGGGGTTCGAACCCAGAACCTTCTGGTTACAAGACGAGCTCGTATATCATAACTAAAATAGGAGGTTACAATTTGTTTCGCAATTCTTAACATTCCTTTCTTATAACAGTATGAAGTCTCTGACATTCCTGCTTAGCCTTGTCGTAAATATCGTTGATATTACTTCTCTTGTGTCGACATATGAGTGGACACTTACAATAAAAGCACTCACGGTCCATCAGGATTACCTCAAAGGAAGTTCTCCATTTCCATGGCTTTCTTAAACAGAAATTTCCATTATTTTGTATATATTAGTCATTTCACTATTTACAGTCGTATGACATATCTTGAATCTTACAGATGTGTCAAATACCCAACGCGTTTTTCTCCATTTCAGGTGACTTAAAGATGTGAGTACAAAAAGTACAAAGTTTAAGTTGCTTTATAAACAAATATCTTCACCAGAGGTTACTTGGTGCATGGTGACAAGCAGTGGAATCCAGGATGGGTATTTCATCCTATTTGGGACTCGTCAACTGGATGTACGTGCATTTCTCAGTGAGTGATGATGTTCCCACCGAGGCCTCATGGCAAACATCCACCAGTTAAACGCTAATTACATGCCCAGTCATCGTCGAAGCATCTGCACAAGAAGCCAACATGTCAACCTAAGAACGAGCACTCTGGTCTAATCAATCGACGAGAAAATCTAAAATTCAGTTAAAGAGATATCTTCACTACTTCACTGAAAATATGATATCTCAGTTGCTGTGCCAAAGTTTCACGAGTACTATGTGAACTGTGTCGGACTAAAGATAACTTTTATTGAGCTCTACTGTACTGAATGCAACAACCAAAGAGGTTTTTGTTGAGATAAAAGTGATAGTACTGTTGTAAACACTTTAAAAAATAACTTAATTTATAATGAAAGGATTGTTTTCATACCTAAGTGAAAATCCAAAAGATAAATTTAGAATTCAATCAAAATTCTTTTTTTTTGTTTATTTTGACAGTCAGAAGTTGAGGACTACTTGACTGAATTGTTAACTTCCCCGAATTGGAGAATAAGACTGTGTTCGTGTTGGCTATTGTCTGTTATATTATGCAAATTGAGTAAGGTAAGTTGTACTGTCTAGCTTAGTCGCTGAGTTACAGTGGACCAACGTTTGTAATAAGCAAATAAACTCTAGTAAAAGTGGTGAGCTGTTTTAGTTCATACAACCACTGTATGTTTGTATGATGCATTCTTTGTTACTACCTTTTTCAAGGTGCTGAATTAAATTTACACGGATGATCAGCCTTAGAAGGTGAAACTATATGGAAGAAATAATTTATATAATGGTTAGTGAAAAACTATGAATTCATATGAAGTAGTAGTGAAGGCGAGCTTGTGAATGAAACCACAAACTATACCAGCACAATCTAAGGAGCTCGTAGACTAAAAAGCCATCAGACTTGCCATGATGCATACCTAATATATTGGCTGTTGCATAGTCCCTCTTATTCAAGATTGTTTTTCTACATAGACGGTCCATCATGGGAGTAACAATTTTATCATGTACTACCTGGAAAATCACAACTCACGGGATGGCAGTTTGAAATAAATCGCTCAATATTATTTGTCAGATGTAAAGCAATCAAAACTTGGGGAATTCTTCATAACTTTTTCTTCCGCAATCTTATTTTATTGTTTTTTTCATACGGGTTTTCTGTAAATTGTTACACTTCATAAGAGTGAGATAATTCTTTTGTATATTAATCTTCATTTGTAAATTTCGTTTTGAATTTATCTAAATCTTAGGCTTTTACAGGCGTGATTTATTTTAACGAAATTTCTCCCGGAAAAACACCAGTTACAGAACTAACAGCAGGCAAAAGGCCTTGTTTTTTAAGACAGTCTTAATGAAAAAGCTAAGAACAGGGTTCCAACTCATCACTTAAGTTAATGGATATGCAATCACATTGCTTGACTCCGATTTTGAGAGCCTTCTACCAACCACGACTATTTATTATAGCTACAAGAAACACGGGGGTTATCAATAAGGTTTCGATTCTGGATATTCAGAAATTACAGTCAAGAAAGGTAACATTAGGGTTTAGGACTGATGTTAACTATATTGGAAATATAATACTGAAACATGTGACTTCTGTCTTTCACATTATACGTTTGAAGCTAAATCGTAATACCTTGTTGCTTTGGCACCCAGACTGTGGATTATTCATCCTAAATGGATCTACTTTTGATTTTTGGAATAATTTTGGTCAAAATGGTCAGTTTATTAAGTCAGTATTTTTTTAAATTGGACCATGAACACATTTTATCGATGAGTATTAGAATTATACCAAAGATTAATTCAAGAATTCTCTCCTTCTGTAAAAAAGCATTTAACGCTAGTTGCCATTCTATAAATCTTCATATAGATTGGGGATAACAGTTCACCGTAAGAATGTCATGAAAATCCATCGTATCACAAACAGGTTTTTCAGGTTAGTAAACTTCTTGGCGTAGATATTTTAAAACAGAGAACTTCTTAACTATCGGAAGCCAAGTTGTTTAAATTCAACAATAAGGGGTTAAGTTATCGCAGTTTATTCACGGCTAAAACATATGCGATCAGAGTACACATAAAGACACTTCCAAAATTGTAATTTTATAATAAAAAATAATGGCTTTATTATAGGATAGGAAAGTAATGGAGAAACAAAATGTAACATTCCATGACATGATACTGTTTGTTACTTGTATGCTAATAACTACATTATAGCTATATTTCATATCTATTCATTTCTATTAGAATACACTTACACGGATAAATCGCCTACTCCTACTAGACTGGAACAGTATGTTGCGAATAGCAGCTCTCCATTCTCTTCAAATTGAAACCAACAGTATAAATCAATCATTATTATGGTGTAACCGATCATTCAATGATCCATTCTTGTTAAATAATATCCAATCTTATTTTAAGCAAGAAGGAATACACAAATCTTCTTTGACCTCTGAATCAATGCCTCACCGACGTGCACAAAGATTATACCAGCTATACAAAGAAGGTATTTTTATGGTGCATTTGTGAAAACATTATGTTTTGGTTTGATGACTGGACGTTTGCATGTTAATGTCTCTTGTAATATATTACTAGGCTGAATCAAATCCTAGGTTTGCAAATTCACTCACAGTTTTCAAGGGAGCACTACTAATGGTAACCAACCAGTCATGTTGATCAATAAGCAGTACATGATATCATGCATTTATCTTTGCTTTCTTGATTGTGGGGAAGTTTCCCCTTGGACTGTGTATTTTCCGGATTATTGATTCAATTTAGTGTATTACCAGTTAAATGAAGTAGCTAGTTGGAATTTAGGTAGTTTAAACCGGTTTAACTCTCTGAACTGAGTCAAACTAGGTGCAACTCTCTGATGTGCTGTGCACCAAACGAGCGAAACTGCCTTCTGGTATTTGAATCGCTTTCATCTCTCTAGTAAGCACTACTCATATCGATCAACTCGTAGTACATTGCATCACGCAATTATTTTATGGCCAGTTTGTAACAACACTGCTGTGAAATGAAACTAACTAATCTCAAGAAAGTGTTCATCATGATAAGTGTATTTCTTCACAAAGTATAAAACGATTAATATTAGTCCTGTTGGTAGTAAACCAACAGAGATATTCATTGTGTCATTCAGGTCTTTCCTGCAGTACACCTTTATTATTTTTTGAAATACATCTGAAATGAATTGAAGTGAATTGTTCAACGGACTGAAATCAATTTAGCTTCAGAATAAAGTCATTTATTTGATAAAGCATACAATCATACACTGATAAAGTTAAGGGTACAATTTATTTTGCAAAATACTATACATTATAATCGTCATCAATAAATATTATTGTATCATTGTATGTTATAAAGAAATAAATCATTCGATTGCCATTATTCTCTACAGAAGTGTCAAAGTCCTATATTCATATCAAGTGTTCTCAGAAATTTTCCAGCCAGGGGGTCAAAAAGTAAACTAATATACCTTTGATGTACAAATATCATACTTGTATGCTTGGGATTCTATGATGTAATCATAGGCGTTAACTGCCAGCTGAGTTTTGAGGAGTTTGTGAAAAAAATAGTTCTCTTTTTTTCTTAGACTCATTATTAGTGTTCTCGATTAGGTTACATGGATCATCTAAAAGTGAGGAGTAGTGTTCGCTGTCATGTCTGAAACACTGCTTGTTCGATATATTCACATTTAAAATAATTGTAATTGCGTAACAACAGAAGACAAGGGCCAGACAACAAATCATTTATTTAGGAAATCAACACATATTTATAGATTTTCATGTACATTATCATAGATTATTTTAAGCAAACAAACACAGTCTTCTGATCGATGGTTTCTCGTTGAACGGTAATCTTTCATCTCTTTGTGACCGTTTCTTGAAGTTCAGACTGTCCACCTGCAAATTGTATCCACTTACGTAATGGCTGCTGTAATTGGTTTTTAAGTCAGTCTTTGTTCCTATGTTTTCTCATGACCAATATCGAGGATGTAAACATTGACATAAATTACTGTCTACCAATTTGGCTAGTAGTCAGCTCTCACCACAACTGATTACTTATTTGAAGTCAGTTTTGATTTGCTTGTTGACTGATTCGACCGAAATGTTAAGCATCTGTTGATACCAACAGGAAAATCTAAATTTAGTAAAACAACATATGTTAATTGGTACCCTTTGCACAAGAGACTGATCTTACGACCCAAGTGGTCTAGTGAATGACGCTTTTACGTTTAAAACGAGGGGTATTAGGTTCCAGTCTAAGTGGGAACACCACCACTCACTGAGGAATGCGGGTCTATCTAGATGACTAGTCCAAAATAGGATGAAATGCGCATTTTGAATCCCACTGCCAGCCCACATCCATCGAATTAATTGCAATTAAGATCAGAGCATCCACTCCAAAGGTTAACTTTTTGTTTCGTAAGTTCACGTTAATATGCATGAAGAACTTTTTATTTATGTACAGTGTTATAAGGGTAGTTATCTGTACTGATTAACATGGATAAGGGTTATAGATTTTAATGACTAAGGTTACTCTAAATTAAGTATGGCAAATTAATTTAGTTCATTTCCATTTTTCTCCAATGCTAGAAAACAAAAACGGATAGAAATCTTGTATATTCGAACTCATTTATGGCTTTATCAAAAGACAAGTGTGAAAACTGCTAGTGAGGAGTAACTCATGATTTACATTTACCTGTAGTTATTGCCAATTTATTTATGTAACTGTTTTGATAGCAAAGACGAGAATCTTACTCAACAGTTTTAAATACTTCATGTGACGTCAAAGTGTTCATTTAAAATTTCTTCCAAATCACATTTGTGCATTCAGTTGTATTTCGAGATGCGTATTTATAAAATGTGCTGGGTAAGGATTTCCACAAAACTAATTCATCGGGTAAAGAGTAGTACTACGAAGGGACACAGAATCGTCGTTGCATGGAACAAGGATGCACACTGGCAGTTAACTCGACTATATTAATAAGTGTTTTTTGTTTTATCCGATACTTCGGTGTGTAAGAAAGAGAATAGGTGGTTCGCAGTATTACACCGTGAGTTATTCAAAGTTATTTCTCTTTTATCCAAAAGCTACTGTTGATTTTCAATATAAATACTAGGAATTATTGACAGATACCCCCATTTCCAGAAATATATAACGCTCATTTATATAATACTGAAATTCCTCCTTCTACACTTCCCTCATTCCTCTTGATGTGTTACTGATCTGATTAGAGAATTAATTTAATTGATTGACTGTCCTCAAAACAGCAACAGCAACAACAACAGAAAACAGTCAGCATAAATGGGAGGAACCTGAAAGAAACAACCTCCTTCACCTACCCACCTGGGAAGCATCGTTTCAACTATAGGCGGAACTGACGAGGATATCAAAGCAAGAATCAGAAAAGCAAGACAAGCTTTCATTACTCTCAAGTGTGTGTGTGTGGAGGTCAACATCACTCAGCATGACAATGAAAATAAGGTCCGGATTTTCAACTCCAATATGAAGTCAGTGCTACTCACTGTACGGATAAGAGACTTGGCGCGTCATGAAGAGGAATTCAAACAAACTTCAGACCATCATTAACAGTTGTCTTTGCTCAATACTCAAAATCAGATGGCCGGGAAAGATCAGCAACAGGGATCTCTGGCAATGAGCAAACCAACCAGGAACCGATTGTGCAACAAATAGGCAGGAAGAAATGGTGGTGGATTGTCTGGCCTTACTCTGAGGAAACCATCAAGTGACATCACTAGACAAGCCATTGCTCGAATGGAACCCGAAAGGGAAGCGGCGAGTTGGTCGTCAGCGCAAGGGTGATTTGGAGGAGGTCATGTGAAGAGGAGATGAAAGCACGTGGTAAGACTTGGAGCGGAGTGAAAAATTTGGCAGAAAACCGAAGGCAATGGACACGCGCAGCTGAAGCCCTATGTTCCTCTAGGAATTAAAGGATATGATAATATAATAATAATAAATAATAATGACTGTCCCCAAAATCTTGATAATTAAAATTAACAAGGTAGATTTTTGTGGAGGGGTCATCTGCTAAAATAGTGTACTGATAAAGATTGTTACTAAAATTTAGTGGAATTAATTCTTGTTACTTGTATTTTTATTTTCCAGGTCTTCCTTCTGCTGAACTGGTTAGACAACTTCATATCGCTTTGCTGGATGAATACAGCTGTGTACGTGAAATGGCTTGTGTTATCATCAAACAGGAAAAATTAGCTGGAGAATCAATTATTTTGAATGAACTACTCAAGAATGTGAAGAATGATGTAAATAGCAATGTGAAATTAATGGCTTTAAGAGGTATGTTCATGGATAGTTATTTTTATTCTGAAATAGTAGTAATAAAACTTAAAATCGGCAAGTGTGATTTTAAACAGAAAACCAGAAAATGTATCGATTGGTAGTATATTGAAAAATTCATACACCAAACATTCACATGTTCTTCACTGATGGAAATTTTACCGTGAAAATTGTGATATGAAGATGCATTGTTTTTCAATATGCTCAGACACTATGCGTATGGTAGAAGTGAAGTTGAGGGGTTCATTTCGGTGGAAGGAAAATACGTTAAGATTTGTTTGAAAGTGTGAAGGGAGGATGAAAATGATAGCAATGATATAACTACTAAAACAGCAAGCTAAAGTGAATCTGAAATCAAATTATAGAGGGAAACTTACAGGAAGGGCATGCCACATTGAATCTGTGCTTATGTACAACCGCCAATTCAGAACAATTTTCCTCTCTTAGGGGCTTCCTACTTTAAAGCTTCAGTAGCGATGGTGTTGTTTTTAAAGAAAGAAGTCACCAGCCCTCTTCCCAACCTACCTTATTTTCTGGGCTTACTGTTGGATGGCCAAGGTTTTCGAGTGACACAGACAGGAATCGAACATGGGCCGCCCAAATGGCTTAAAAGCGATCTACTATCAAACCACCTACATTCAGTAGAAAACAGATGATGAAGTCTTCTGATTTAGTGTCAGATGTTGTGGGTAATAGCATTTCTGTTTAGAATTCTTTTAATTTTAACCTTTTTGTTTAGTCTCACCTCAGTGATTTAACCCTCCTGGTCTCTTCCCCACTCAGTTATAAACAAAAGTGGTGTAGGAAGGACTATTAGAGAATTTTCAGGATAAATACCAGTGGGAGATGCCAAGCAGTTATGGACTTTTAGAAATTAGCTGTCACTTTTCTATGGTGTAATTCAATATGTTTTAAGGTTTTGTTACCCGTTTATTATTGATTTCTAGAACGAGTGCAGTCAATGCAATCAATACTAAGGATGTTTGTTGCGGGAGACGAAATTCGAGTATATATTGTTTCAATTCACTGTGCACAAAATTAATATTCCGAGTCTCAGAACAAATGTGTAGCATTGTGATATGGTGTTCAGTACTACTTCCACGACTGTGGAGTGTTTTTGAACCAACACACATTAGATTTACGAAAAGACCCTAAAAGATCTAGGCTTTCTGCGTAATGTCGCACTTACTTTAAGGTCTCTTGGCGAAAATCAGCAAGCTGGCTGGAGAGGCAGGCAGAGAAGACAGGACTTCAAGAAGATAGAGGTAATAGAGAAACCTAATCAACAATGACAACAAACGTCAGTCACCATCTTCAGGAAAAATCTAATGGGAATCATCACTTTCATTTACTTTTTTTAATTATTCCACTCAAAACCCAATAAGAATTACAACTATGTGATAAACGTATGTCTTCGTATAAACTCCACCTAACTTTGTTAATGGTCATTATAAAGAATTCGATCAACTAATTATAGTGGTTTTATCCCAAGGTCAGTCAAGACTGGATGTAGCTTGCTGAATATTTTACTCATCTACATATGACAGTCACTGGCTGGTCTGTTTGGGAATCCAGTTAGGCAGTATATATTAGGCATATATATAATTTGCTTTTCTGGTTTTCAAGCACTAAAAACGCTATCAAGTTGTAATGTGAGCAGTCCAACTTCAGAATGTATTCAGAATCAACTATGTGACGCTGTTCAATGTGAAATGAATTCATATATTCGACAAAAACTATTTCACCTTTTACTATGGTTTATAGAAACACGTTTTATCACATGTGATACGAGTGATCATTTAAATAACCATAAAATTGATCTATTAGCAAAAGAATCACTTCTCAACGAGTATAATTCATTAATAGAAAAGTCAGTTGACTTCAATAAATTATTTGATATACAAGATGATGTAATTCATTACATTTTGAATTCTTATGATCAAAGTGACTGTTTATCACCATCGCCATTATCATCACATAAACTATACTCGAATGCTATACGTGAAGCACTTATTCCAAATTACGACAAATCCATTAATGATGACAGAATAAATCAAATGAAACGGCATAAATTACCCTGTGAATTCTACTCTTTGTATAATTCATTGAAAAATTCTGTTAAATATGACCAATGTGAAGAAATTCGAAGGTAGATTTCTCATGGATTTATAAATTTTCACAAGTGTTTATAAAGATCTATGAGATTATGTGTTAGCTTTTTGACCACTTTTTTGATTGGACATAAGTTAGTAATTAGTGTAATGTGTCTAGTACTCTGTTTGGTGCAAACTGAATTCCATCAGTCAAGTTTACAATGTGGCCACCTGTTACCATGTCCAAGCGTGCGATGATTTATCTCTTTTGACATACATATTCTTTTATGTCGAGCTTTGAATGTATAACATGAATGTCCGTATATATATTGCTGAAGAAATCTATTGTATTAGGTGAATGCATAAATGAACCATCGCAAGTGTCACCCAGATTTACAGTATTGGACAGCCGTCACCTATGAAGGCACCTTTACAGATGTATGATAGGAAATACAATGTGAAGTCAAGCAGAATACAAGTAAAGACATATTTTGATTGGACACTAGTCACTAGTGTGACGTGTCTAGTCCTTTCTTTGCTGCAGGCTGAATTCTATCAGTCTACCGATTGCAATGTCGCCAACATTCTAGGTAGCTTGTCATTACGGTGCACATTGATTTGATGATATTAGATAGTTGGAAGCGATCGGCAGGAAGCCTAGCTCGACCTAGGTTTCGTGCTAGTTGGCACTCATTGGCAAGGCGTATCTGTAACCTCGACGGAACTGATGTCCCTTCTGAGATTCGAACTCGCGTCACCCAGTGCTGACATGATGGCGAACTACATAGAATAGTGGCCACATTGCAGACCTGACTGACAGAATTCAGTCTGTACCGAAGAAAGGACTAGACACGTCACATCAGTTACTAGTGTCCAATCAAAGTATCCGCTGCAGTCCTACAAGAAGTCAGTCGCGAGCCCTAATAGCTCAGTAGTAACGTTTCTGACTGCAGCCCTGGGTGATGCGGGTTCGAATATCAGGAGGGACATGAGTTCCTTCAAGGTTCAGATACGCCTAGCTGACGAGTGGCAACCAGCACGAAACCTAGGTCCAAGGCTTCCTGCCGATCGCCTCCAACTATCTAAAGGCGTATTTTATTCAAATTATCAAAAATTGTTCACTTTGGCTCTTATCTTTCATAATAATTTGTTTATTAGATACATCACACAGTGAAACATAATTGTTTTCTCGATGACCCTTCGAAAACAATTTATTGTTCATAATCGTATCAGTTGTTAATAAACAACTTCCATAATAAATGGCAACACAATAAACTGTGTTTGAAACGTCATCCAATAAACAACACTGTTTCACTGTGTGGTATATCTAATATACAAATCAATATGGAATGACGTACTACCACAGTGACATAGTCTTACACATATATATTAGTGTGACACTTGTTTGTTATTGATTATAATAGAAACTGTTGAACATTGAAAAATACTGAGATGAGTCTCTATGATAATTAAACGGCTAATCAGACATTTTCAACTTGTTTATATGAAATCCGTTAAAAATAAGATTCTAACTGACTGCTTTTGTTATTACGGCAAATTTTCAACCTTCTTTCTGTATATATATATATATATATATATTATATATATATATATATTCAAAATATTGAATATCTCCGTAGCATTGTTCTAAATACAAATATTCCATACTGAGGAGAAAGGCTAACTAAAAATGAGGCAATTCAAGTATTGGTTTGTAGGGATTTGATTGATTGGTTATGGGACTTCATCATGAACTGACATCAGTTAGAGAACCGTTGGAAAACCAGCTGGGAGTACTGGACAGCTGTTTCGTCCTAATTTGGGACTCTTCATTAGTACCCTGCAACCGAGGTTCGTACTCAGGACCTTCTGGTTACAAGGTGAGCTAGCTCGTGAACCATTAAAGCACTGGGGAAGGTTTCAATGGCCAGTCAATGATTTCCAACTTCTGCCAATTCATGACATAGGGCGACCGCTAGCCAATGTCTTCGGCGAGTATTTGTCCTTATACTCAACCTGCTGCACCCTACTAGTCATGAATTCCCATTAGAATCCCAGATAACTACTTACCTGAAGTGGGCCAGTCGCTAGTAAGTATCTTACTGACGTTCAAGTGTTGATTTGTTGACTTGCTTATTGACTGCTGGCCCATTTGGAGCTTATTTTGAATCCATTTTTATACGTGTTACAAAATTCATGCAAATAAGTGCACAAAATCTATTGAGGCTGCATGAGTTAATGAATAACAACTAAAGAGCTTTGGTTTACAGAACTTGGATGGAGATAACTTTGCCATGCAATTTATAGTCCTACCTGACCCCAGGATAAGACATTACCCTACTCTGAGGCTTGTCAAAATCTGCAGGTAACCTCATGAAGATAATTTTGATGTTCTTTAGTACTTGTTTAAATGTAGTGACTGTTGCCATTGAATATATGGTTTAATTTCAAATGCATACTGCAATGTCTTGAAAGCGGTCCATGTGTAGGAAACCAGGAATTTCTTTTAAAATTTGTTATTTGCTTGCACGAAGGTGGTGTATTTCTAACATGACCGAACATTAGAATTTGCATTGGTTGCCACGTCCTTGTCATCGATTTGAATCAGAATACGGAGACCTTTCCATACGTTTGACCTCTTTCCTCAAATCGATGCAAAACTGTCTACACAAGTGCATCATTCCTGGTAGTCTGTCACACTCACAAAATAAGGGATAACAACGTAAGTATACTTCAGTGGAAAAACTTGAGTGCAAGAGTCAATTAACCAAATGAAAAGCCAATACATCGAGACCGTTGTAAATTATGTTGAACGATGTCGACACTAGTCTTTAACCACTCACTGACATTTAACGTCATGCAAAACCTAAAAGTACAACCTACGCCTACTTAAGTGGCTCATACTAATAATTAAAAATGTCATTAATTGGTCCTGAGTTTTGTTTCCGTCAGCCTTAGCATTGTCTGTCCCTATTCTACACCAGTATATATTTTTGTTACAGACGTTATTGACTCAGTATGCATAACACGTGCCATTGCCATTATCACTGAGTACTCACAAACTCGTCGGTTAATTTACTTTCCCCTACAATGCTAGATTGCACAAACAACTCTTTGATAGTTGGTCTGACGTCTTAACAACGTTCGAAGTGACATAATTCGACAAATATCCTGAGATGAAGCTGAAAATCAATAATCAGTAATAACCATGTTGGAATTTCATTATCCTTTACTTATGAAAGGTGAACTCCTACAAAATAATAATAATAATAATAATAGCTTTATTCCAAAAACAGTACTCATGATACGGCAAGGAATTTTCAGCATTTTAATATATAATTCAGGATTCAGGTAATCTAAATGTGACTGTATACACTTATATATATATATATATATATATATATATTCACAGAATGACCTAACGATTATCATTCTGTTGTTTTAAATATTTTAGCGAATTATCGAAAATGATAGAACCAATATTCTCGCAGATATTAGAAAGAGCAAGTGAAAATGCCCCTGAAAACTGTTATTATTCATATGACAATGATTTCGACCTGTTACGTGCATTAATCGATGAAAAGTGTAAAGATCTGGTTAAAATATGTCATGATATTATTCAGTACTCTTAAATCAACACTTTGTTCTAACTTAGTGTTCACAGAAAGATAATTAATTTTGAAACAATTAATATTTTGGCGTTAGTTACTACTCACCGATGTACAATAATTATTGTCATTTTGATGTATTTATCTTTATTTTTACTACTGTAACCATGGAATCTTTCCTTTTTTAAATATTAGTTTTCATATAGTTTTAACATGAAATTAATTCTTTCGTACTAATCATTAAAATGGTTAGATTTCTAATAATTTAAAGAATGAAGTACCTGAATGAAAAGAATTATCTGCTTGGAGGATTTCATCATGAGCTGACATCAGTTAGAGAACCACTGGAAAACCAGCTGGGAGTACTGGACAGCTGTTTCATCCTAGTTTGAGACTTTTAAGCGGTACGCGGCCACACTACGGGGTTCAAACGAAAGATCTTCTGGTTACAAGACGAGCTCGTAGACCATTAAGCCACTGCGACCCGATCCAATATTCCATGAATTAGTGGTCAATGAACTGATTCTGAGATAATACAGACAATTTGTAGTTCATAGGGGTGATAGAAAGGTAGTGATATCTACAAGCTAGATGTTTTATTCTGCACGGTTTGATTGTCGATTCTGATATCAGGATGAGGCGAATTATAAGCATTTCACTGTGTCTCAATTAGTGGCTTTTTACTGTGACTTCAGAGTGTCTATTTCTAAAATTTTCAAGTATACTTTTTCAGGGATTTGATTGGTAACAGGTTAGCTGATGGAATGACATCAGTTAGAGAACCATTGGAAAACTTTTTAGTAGTACACACCCACCGAGGTTCGAACACGGAACTTGCAGAATGTCAGGCTAGCTCACCGACCAGTCAGACAATGGGAAATCGATCCACTCGCCCATGAATCATAACTTCTGCCAACACTCGAAAATTAATGTGATTCTTACTGACAACCGGTTCTATTTAAGCAGTTACCTAAAGTTCTATTGGGAGGTTATGGTAACCGATGTCCATCAAGTAAGGCGATAGAGCACTTACTCGCCTATGACAGTGGCTGAAGGTTTTGCCATATATATATTTCTAAAAATGTTTTATTTATGTTCTGTTATGTGTGTGGAAAGGTCATATGGTTATTTGAAATATTAGGGACCTACTGGAGACCAATGATGTCATGAAGATGATATCTGGTTTCTGAAGAAGACTAACAACTTTATATCTTCAGGGTTATGAATTGTGTTTTCTACTGTCGCTATGCATCTACAGCTTCTTGAAGAATGGTTTCATTAAAAACTGAAAAAAATAACTGTTTGTTGATCAATTCAGGATGTGAAAACGAAAGATACTGCGTGTTACTAAACGGTTATTCAGAATAAGAATTGTGCAAGCTGATATAGCTCTAAAAGGTAAATAGCTTAGCTCAGTAAATATGACGTAAAATGACAAATGCCACAAAAACCAGAAAAAATGAGATACTCTGAGAAAATCTAAAGCATGTTTGATATTCTTATTTAACGGAAAGTCTTATCCTAAGTAAAATTAGGTTTCGGTTTTCCTATCGTTTAGTGAGTATTAACACAGGAGGTTACTTGTGGTGTCATTTTCGCCTTGTAATTATGGTTCTGTGAATTATTCATAAGTACAATATATTCAAAATACTTCCCGTCTGCTCAAGCTTATATACTGTTCCAATCAATTACTAATCTCGTGGCCTTTGATGTTTGTGATGTATACTGTTGAAACACGATAAATGTAAATAATTAGTATTTGAAGTTGGATTCAATACTTAAATGGGTATATCGTACTACAGATCTTGTACAGTTTGTAACTGTGAGTTATTCGTGCCCTATTTCTCCAATCTTAAGTTTAGTGAGAGGTCAAACTATTTGTGATGAGTAATTATTTATAGATTGGATGATGAATAATAAAATTATTCAAGTATTGGTTTGTAGGGATTTGGTTGGTTGGTTACAGGAATTCATCATGAGTTGACATTGGTTAGAGAACCATTGGAAAACCAGCTGGGAGTACTGGACAGCTGTTTCGTTCTAGTTTGGGACACTTCATCCGTACGCACCCACTGCCAGGTTTCTAACCCAGGACCTCCTGGTTGCAAGGCGAGCTCGTGGACGATTGAGGCACTAGGACCCGATCCAGTTGCCCATGAATTCTAACTTCCGCCTTGCAACCAGGAGGTCCTGAGTTCGAATACCGGTGGCTGCGTACTTCTGGAGAGTTCCAAACTAGAACGAAACAGCTGTCCAGTACTGCCAGGTTTTCCAATTGTTCTCTAACCAATGTCAACTCACGATGGAATCCTGTAATACAGTTATTTCTAGTAGTTCTTTAATGTACTAATGATTGAGGCATCATCTGCTGAATATCAATAATCTCGCCTTTGAATACTTCAAAAGTAATCAAATAAAATATCCTCACCTAACTGTACTTAGAAAAAGTAAAACATTTCACAGATCCTTTATGAAACAACAAAGATTTGTAGCTCAAGAGGATAGCCAGATGATTGAGTAGACAGTGAAGGATTGGGTATCCATCGGTGTTATACAAACGTCTATGTGTATAGGAAGTGGTTGCTTGTCAGCAGTCGTGGAATCGGCAGAAAGTGATGTTTGGAAGTTGTAAGCTGTAAAGAAGTGCCGATGAAGCCCCATTCTCCTCTTCGGAACGCAAAAAAATAAGTAATGATTATAAGTGTTTAGTTCAAAGAGATTTAATCAAAATCAGGTATTTAGGTGTATAATTGTGAATGAAATTGAATAAAAAACACTTACTGATTTGCGATTCTGCAAACTGAATTCCTGACACAAAATCACCAACCAGTTCACCTATCAGCATAGTTTCAGGCACCAGAAAATTAATAATGTTACGGATTCTTGAAATTAGAAAATGAAACCAGTTTACCACTAAAAACGCAATCAGCTTCCCACCAGGAACTTAATTTAGGTCATTTGACACTTAAAGGAAGAATACAACTGAAATTAGATTGAAGTAATTTAGTATTATAATGAAAAATTGTACTGAAAATTAAAAACCCAAAGAAAGTTGATAACCAATTAAAGCTTTCCTAACATGTTGGTACTACCCAATAAAATTTACGCTCCACTGTTTCAGAAAACAGTTCAGCTAAATGAAACGAAAGCGGTTAATGCGTTACATTCCCATGTGAAACGAAATATAAAAATACTAGTACTGAAAACTGATTCCCATCTTTCTGCGGAGAATCATATTATTAGAACTGTATATCAAATAATTTTGTGAACTTAAATAGTGGAAATTGTCATTCAGCATCATTTCACAGTTTTTATTCATCTTTTGTCCTTTTCCACTGAAGATAGAGTTATCAGCTAAAAGCTGGAATCGGACTGAGTTTACAATGCAAAACCTAGCTTGAAAGTATAGTAGTTCAAGTTGCCATAATCCATATACCACACAGAGGCAGAGAAAAACATTCAGAGGAAGTATTATGAAAGCAGATGTATAATAATAATGTAGAGGATAATAGGAATTTAATGGATCTTGGAGTTCACGGAAAGGTAATTCATCTTTGCCATTCGGCATAGCTTAGCCCATATCACAAACAGTTTCAAGCCACTGATTATTAGCGTCTCCGAAACTCTGGCCATGCAGTTTACATCTCGATAAGCGACTGGCTAAAATCAACCGTCAAAGACTCCGTGAACTAACACCAGGTTAGGGTCTGGTCAGCTCCAACTCCCTTTCAACCTGATCCTATGCCATATAATACAGTCCGACAAGGCAGACAACGGCTTGGCATTCATAGCACATGTTCCAGCTATCTTAACAGATGCAGTTGTAAAACCTCATCGATTCACCTGACATAATACTTTACGGCTAACCGCAATTTTATTCACGATATTAGCTGATATGAACAATAAATTGTGTTTGAAATTTTGTCCGCTAAATATCACAGTACCGCAACACCACAAACAAACTAATAAAAAAAAACTACATTATATGACGGTGACTTAATTTTACACTAGTGCAAAACAGACTTACATTTATTCCATCCCTTAGACACAAGATATTAATCAGTCACTGGCAATCTATCTAATAGGTTAAGCCATGTTGTCCTTTTATTCTATGAAACTATGTTCACCTTGTAGCAACAGAGGACGAGGGCCAGGCAACAGATCGTTTATTGAGGAAATCAACACGTATTTATGTATTTTCATGTACATTATTATAGCCTGTTCAAGCAAACAATCACGCTCTTCTGATTGGTTGTTTCTCACAGAAAGTTGACCTTGCATCTCTTTGTGACCGTTTCTTGAATGTCAGGTCATCTATATGTTAACTGTATGTGCCCACGCCGTCTGCTGTAATTGGTTGTCGTTCATATTTTCTCACGACCAATATTTGCGACACAAACATTGACGTAAATAATTATCTACCAATTTGGCTAGCAGCCTGCTCTCACCACATCTTGAATATTTGGAATCGAATATCAATAATAACCTTATCGTGTAAATGTGGTGTGGCTAACTGAGATATCCCAACCAGTGAGAAGGCAGACCAGTACTTTTATTGCACATAATGGCATTTAGTCTCTTGATTCAATCAACAACTGTATGTGATCTGCAAAAAAATATTTTCTCGATCTGAAAAGTACAATATCCATGGAAACGTTATTGTTTCAATATGGAGAGAAACCGTCTTCTGTGCAATCGATATACGAATTCTCCTGAAGTGCAGTTTCATTTCATTGACGATTTAGCTGAAATAAGAAGCTAAACAACTAGTCTTGAATAATCTCCCTACAAAATGACTATCAAACAAGTGCACCAATGTAAACTTGCTGACTCTTACTGATTTCCAAATAAATTCAATTCGTTATGCATATCAATCATGTTTATTGATATGAAACTTATTATCAGTATTTTACCAACTTTGTAACAATTTTACTTAAATTTCCGAATAAAAAATCTGATAAAGTTAATTATGCAAAACATATTTTTAATTTTGCAGTCATCACAAATTTAAAATGAATTTCTCTGAACTTAAGTGATATTAAGGTATTTTCAGATAATTAACTCTGGGAATATATAGCTGAAGGAACGTCACAGTGCTTAAAAGTATTGTTACAAATTTTTGATTGGAGATTGTCATTCAAAAGTCAGTATTTTACTATGATCTAGGGCTTCTTATCTATATTTCAACGCCATCTGATATTTACTCGGAGAT